TAATTATATAATATATTATAAATTAATTATGAAACTGCATATACACACGAAGGAAATACCTAGACAGCATAGATCTCCTAGGAATATCCTAAGAATATCAAGATGATGTCCCAATATGTTAAAGCCGTCTACAGAATGTCCACAGTATGTTCATAGTCTATAGGATATAGTGTGCTGTTTGGGTATTGTTTTAATAATAACCACAAAATTATAGTGTAGGATCATAATCACGTTGTTATATTTTTAACAATAACTGCTCTTAAATAATAAATATTTCTTAATTTTTAGTCTAGTATCGATTAACGAATATAATCGTCAAGTTTTCAATGTAAACTATTCATTATTAACAATATTAATATACGAAATGTAAATGGAGGCTATCGCACACTTTTTTCTCTAATAAATTATTTAATACGTAATAAACAATGTTATGTGAAGAGTTTATTAATTATATTTACTTAGATTTATGACATATTTGATAATAATTTTTACTTTTCAGATTGACGATAATATTACGAATCGCAGTAAGTCCCTAGAGATTATGAAATCGAAATTTTTGGAGCTTCTGAGTCAGATGTTACCATCGCAATCATTAAAAACTCGCGGTCCAGTATGGTTGGGCAGATATGAACGGGACAACACACCTGCAACAATAGCACAATTTTATGCTGACAGTTTATTCCATCCAGTACCATTCGGAAAAATTATAACTTTGATACCGGAGGATGCGATACTTGTCCAAATAGCAATTCAAAATGGTTTTCACACCATTATAGCAAAGTCGTTGGAATCAACAGTCATTTCACTGTGCAAACGCGAACAGAAACATACCATACAAAGTTTTTTAGAAGGAATTGGTGATCTTTATAATATAGGTTTTCAGCCACAGATTGCAAATTTATATCCACCAGTGCAATTTCCAGTTAGTCGCGGAACACCAATGATATCTCCTCTTGTTAGGTGTGTATGTGCTTGTATTTAATTACATGCGTACAAAAACGATTTTCATTTATTTTCGGTCTACAAATGTTACAGATGGGATCATACCGACGATTACTATGTCTATCAGTACAGAGGACAACACATAATTTCCAGTAGAGAAAGACTTGTCAGTATTACAACCACTGACGGAGAATTCGAATATTTTTCTGGTCATGTAATTGATGGAAAAAATTTGTTACCGGCGACAGGTTATCTTTTTTTAATTTGGCACATGATTGGTTTGTTGAGTGGCATTGATTATCGCAACATACCGATTGTATTTGAAAATGTTAAATTTGTCCGCGCTACTAACGTATCGAAGAGAGAAAATTTGAATTTACTTCTTATAATACAAGAAGGTAAATTATTTTTTATTTTGGTCGCGATAATTTCGAAGAAAATTAACTCGATATATGTAAAGAAAGGTGCGGTTTATATCGTAATTCTTGCATGATATTTTTATAGGAAGTAATAACTTCGAGATTATAGAAGGTGACAACGTAATCGTCAGTGGATTCGCAAGGGTACCTAACGATATTGCCTGTGAAAAACTACCTGTTCAATTTTTATCCAACAGTGATGAAGATAATGAGTACATGAAAACAGCAGATATTTATAAGGAGCTCCGACTCCGTGGTTATCAGTATACTGGTTTATTTCGTTTGCTGAAGAGCGCTTCTATCACTGGTAAAGTAGGGCATATCAGGTGGCCTATAAATTGGGCAGCATTTATGGACAATATGCTACAAATGAAAATCCTAACGTTTGATTCAAGAAATATTTGCGTGCCGACTGAAATTCGCAAATTGATAATCGATCCTGAATATCACATGAAACAGTTGCACAATATTTCCGATCAAGATAAAAGTAAGTCTGAGTTATCCTCAAATATTTTCGTAAACAGTTGCAGATATATTAGGTGAAGTAAAAAGTTCTGAGCATTTTTTCGCTTTATTTTGACGATGAAATTAACATAGTTAGGATTATCCGATTTCGATCAAATATGCGCCGTTTTGTTCAATAACTTTTGTTCATTTTGAAGGCAATTTCATAATTCCGCGATTGAAGAAGTCCTCGTCCCTATTGGTAAAAAACTTGACCAGTTCATTTTCACAAGCCTCTCTTGAAGCCAGATTTGTACCATCAAGAAAATTTTGCAAATGCTTGAAAAGGTGATAATCGCCTGGTGCCAAATCTGAACTATACGGTGGGTGCAATAGAACCTCCCATCCAGGCTCTCGGAGCATCTGGCGCGTCGTTAATGATGTGTGCGGCCTGGCGTTGTTTTTGATGGAACACAACACTCTTCCTGTTGGCCAATTCTGGCCGCTTCTGGTCGATCGCCTGCTTCAATCCGGTCAATTGTTGACAATAGAGGTCCAAATTGAGTGTTTGGCCCGATGGAAGCAGCTCATAGTGGATGATTCCTTTCCAATCCCACCAAACACACAGCAAAACCTTCTTGGCCGTTAATCCGGGCTTGGCGAACGTTTGGGCCGGCTCACCGCGATTGGACAACGATCTTTTAAGGCTGTTGTTCTCGTATGTGACCCATTTTTCTTCACCAGTTACCATCCGCTTCAAAAATGGGTCGTTTCGTTACGTTTAAGCAAAGAATCGCAGGCATCAATTCGGTCCAAAAGGTTCTTTTGCGTCAATTCGTGTGGCACCCATACTTCGAGCTTCTTCTTAAGGCCAGCCTTATTCAAATGGTTCCAAACGGTTTTCTGGCANACGGTTTTATGGCTAATCTTCAGTTCCTGGGCAATGGAATAAGTGCTCACATGCCGGTCCGACTCGACGATTTCCATGATTTTATCGACATTTTCGACGATTGGCCTACCAGAGCGTGCTTCATCTTCGACGTCCATATTACCAGAACGAAATCGTTGGAACCACCGCTTTGCTGTTGCATTCGATACTGTATTGAGTTCATAAACAGCACAAATATTTTGGCCGCCTGCTCCGCCTTTTCACCTTTGTCGTAGTGGTACTGAAGAACGTATCGAATTTTCTCTTTTTTTACTTCCATTTTGGAACGCTGTAACATACAACTGCCTTGACCAAATACAAAACTGTCACAGAACATTTTTTGAAGCGTAATGTCACCTTTAAATCGACGTATAGTATAACCCGAAGCGATGTATACATCGTGAGATATGGCTCACTAAAGACATCTAGCGGAAAACGCTCAGAACTTTTTACTTCACCTAATATAAATGGACTTCATATCTCATTATAAATATGTGAATTTTATTACAGACTTGCCTG